GGAGTATAATATAGAATGGTTTAAGGTGAAAACAAAATAGTTGAACTTCATCTCCTTTTCTTTAGTCCTCATTTAGCAATTTTCCCCAGCCCTCTTTTCTCTTCACTCTGTATTTCCTCCCCAGAATCTCCTTCAAGCTCATTAGATCAACTCCTGTTAACCAAGCATAGAAAGACGGATGGATGTAAAGATGCATCCATATGTTGTCCCTGTAGATAGTCTGCATGGACAATTACATTATAATTAGAAATTTGTGTGGGCTCAGAATCGTTTCATTTCATTAGGTGGCCAAATTGCAAAATGAAGATGGACTCATGCTTCCATCTTCAACACAGGAATGGCTGTGGTTGGGACTGGACTGGTCTGTCTTGACTTTTGGACTTCCTTGAAGGATAGATTAGGTAGGGTAACAGCTGCTCTAACAAACATGCCTCACTTTTTAATGAATTACCAACAGTAGGTATATTTCTCACTTATCTAACAGGTTGGTAGGTAGCTTTCTTCCATGTGGTGATTCAGGCTCCAGGGCTCCTCCTGTCCCATGGCTGTGCTATCCCTTATTCAGCAGGCCAGTGGGTAAGGAGAGCATAGAGGAGTGCCACAGGGTGCTAGCCCTGCCTGGGAGAGGTGCAAGTCACTTGCGTTCACATTGCACTGGCCAGAACTCAGTCACATGGCTGTACTTAACTTTAAGGGGGGCTGGAAAGTGTCATTTCTGGGTGGGTAGCAACTCAATGACAGTTTTTGCTACTCCAGATGGTTTGTTTACTAAGACACTTAAAAGACATTGTTATAAGGTCATTGTACCCTCGAATGAAATGGCTGGACTCACAGGCAGCAATTACAGGATGCTTCCAGGGTGGGATTGTATTCTAAACAGAAATGTTCTATGGTTGAAACAATATACACACCCTTCTGAAGTTCCCCCTGACAATGCCTCCTTGCAATTCATATTATTCAGCTATGCTTGATTTTTAAGATACTTCAGGGGTAAATGTCACCCTTTGAAATTTTATTAATGATATTATTTTTAATGAGTCTTTTGAAGTCTCTTTCGTTATAAACAGCCTGTTTTCCCCAGAGATAATAACTCGCAGTGCCAAATATTTGCATTTCACTTGAAACAAAACCAAGGGTTTGAATGTTTTAAATATAAGCAAATCTAATTCTCTTGTGTGTAGAGAAACTGTATAATGAACCATATGTATGTGACTTAAGCAGACAGATGTGGATGATTTCTCTCTCTCTCCTTTTTTTCTTAAAAATGCTGGCAGAGCTCAAAATTGGCACCAAGCAGCAAATATCTCCACCCAGCCAACCAAACCACTGGAGCTGGAGTTGAAATGGGGGAGGTCTCTTAGGTCGCATGCAGAAGTGGAGCTTTTACTGATTCTGGCTTCTACTTGGAAGCCCAAGGCTCCACAACTCAGCCACCCCTGTTTCTCAATGCCTTCTGTCTTTTCAATTAGGCATTCTGTCTTAGGTGACTGACTTTATCTGAAAAGTTGGGTCGATTGTTGTGGTTGACTTTTGGTTCATCTGGAGGAGATGGTTCCATGTCTCTGGGTCCTGCAACAAGATGGCCCCCTAGCTGCTGATAGAAAGGTTCTAAGCTGCCATCCCTTTGTTAGAATGGGCCTTCCTCTGGTGGTACCCATATGGCTTTTTTTCTCTTACTCCTCTCATAGCCCTCCCTACCCTGGAGTCACCTTGACATCTCGCCCAGGTTACTGATATGGCCTTATTTAACTGGTCTTCTTACATTTAGTTTTTCCCCCTCCAGTCTCCTCACTGAAGTGATCTTTCTGTAATCCAAATCTGATTATTTCAGTGTCTTGTTTAATACTGTCAATACTGTTAATACTGTTATCACTGTTATCTGTGTTTAATACTGTTGTCTGTGGCTCTGTGGTCCTGAGGAGCGGGAGTTCTTGGTTTTTAATGCCTGTTCTGCCATTAACAGGCTCTTGCCCTAGTCGCCTTGAGTTTCCTTTACTGTCCACTTACTTGGATGCCAGCAACTATCCTTGGCCCCTCCTTTTTCTAGTACTTCTCTACCTCACAGGTTCTGCTTATGCGTACCTTTGGCTCTCTCACCTGTCCTCTATATCATGGCCCATACAACTCTAGAAGGTACACCTGTTCAAGGTCTGCTCTCCCAGCTTGTTGGTCTTCATATTTCTTATGCACATCCCAAAGAATGAGCATCTAGCCCACATTGTTCTTACTAGAAAAGAGCTTTCTATGCCAGAGTATCCAGAGGCCAGCAGTTGTGTGCCCCTGTGCACTCAGTCTCGTTTGGGTGGGACCCAGGGGTGAGGTGAGTCATGCAGTGCTGTGGGCCTGGTAAGTATATCAGGGAGCCCTTTGGGCAGTGGGACTTGATGGGTAGGATTTGAGTAGGCTGAGATCAGAGGAAGGTTGTTCTAGGACATAGACACAAATCTGACCTATGAAGAGTGAGCAATCAGAAGCCTGCTGAGAGTGAGTGAGTGAGGAGGAGGCTGTGTTATAAGGGCCCTAAAGGCCAGGTAGAGAAGGTGGATTTTCAAAATTAAGCAATAGATCATCCTGTAAGCTTTTTTTTTTTTTTTTTTAAATGGGAGCGGAGGGAGAAAGAGAGAGAAACATTGATGGGCTGCATCCCACATGTGCCCTTACCTCCAGGATTGAACCTGCAACCCAGACCTGTGCCCTGACTGGGATTCGAACCCACCACCTTTTGGTGTCCGGAACAATGCTCCAACCAACTGACCCACATTGGCCAGGGCCCTGTAAGCTTTTAAACAGAAGAATCAATCACTTTCTTCATCTATCCCTCATTCCTGCTGTCAGAATAGACCCGAGACCTGCTATGAGGCCATTGATACCACTCAGGAGTGAGGTTATGTAAGAAAGGTAGTAGAGTGAGCAGTGTTCCTGGAATTGGAGAAAAAACAAACATGGGCTTACATTAACAACAGCAACTGAATATGGCAGCTTCAGTTCCTGGAGGGAATGTTTTCCAGCTGAGTAGTAGTTTCCATGTCAGAACCAGAGAACACGGCAGCCATCACCCAGCACGGAGATATTGGCATCTTCATTCTCAGCACAGCAGTGGGACAGAACTTTCCACCTGTGTCCTACCAGCTTCGTGAACTATCTCTGCCTGCTTAAATTGTTCACTCATAGACGACCGTTCTTGTCTCTCCTATCCGTGCTCAGCTTTTTAGATTCCTTTACTCCAGCTGTTTCTGTCAGTGTTGACATGGAAGGCAGAGCTCCTGTGAGCTCTACACATTACCCTCTGGCCAGGAACCCAGTCCAGCACACTGACTGCCTCTACCTTGGGTTCTGTCCCCAGAACCTGCTCAGACATCTGGGCTCCTTTAGAAAGTGCTGCCTGGAGCATTTGAGTTTGCTTCTGGAATCTGGTGAGAGTGTTTTTGAAAAGTTGTGTGGTCCATCAGGTGCTCAGACTGACTTTTGATCTTCCTTGCTTTCTTTATCTATATTCTTTGTTTCTTACCAGAATGAATAGGGGGTTTCTGAAAACAATTCAGATGGAAGCAACCTAACTAAAAACAAAACAAAACTTGATATTCCAGAGCCTGGCTTAGAACAACAGTTAAAAAAGAGGGCGGTTATTTGCTAATTGCAGGGGCTCACTGAAGAATATGGGCTCCTTTCTTAAGTTCTCTAAGCCTCAGTTTCCTCATCTGGGAAAATGATAATAATACCTACTGTTTTTACATCTCAAATGTTTTGAGATGCTGGATGAGATAGAGATGTGTGAAATGCTTTGTAAATTTCAAAGCACTGTGAATTTAGGATATTAACTTAATAGATAGTGGCTTCCAGGGTATTTAAAATGGTTTGATTTACATTTAGTAGAAACTCGCTTAGTAAGAAAACTTCAAATATGATATCTCAAGGTTATATCACAGCTCAAAGTTTTTTAGTTTTGTTTCTTCTCAGAATGTGGTCAGAGTAGAGCCAGGTGTTTCTGGGAAGAATTACTGGAATGGGGTGTGTGTGTTGGAGGAAAGGGCAGAGATGGTCTGCTGCCTTTTCTAGGGATAGTGAGTACAGTGCTGTCTTAATTATTAATTTCTTTGGTGGTATGTTCACAAGTGGCGACCTGATAGCTTATTGGCAGTAATACTTCTCTCTTTCTTTCCTGGTCTCCCTTTGTCCTAAAGGCTTACCCTTGTGTTCACCTCTTGGTTCCATGAAGGTGTCCCTTTGCAGAAGTACCTTAGCCTTAGAGTATATGGGAGGGATGGAGCAAAACCCTGGGCTCCTCCTCCCAGAATCACCTTTTTTGCTTCTTTCCCCACAATATAGCCAAGCTTTGTTTTCTCCTGCACCATTTCTCTGGTTCTTTGCATCCTTAAAGCCTCAAATTTGGCTTGCACGCCCCCTAGTGGCATGTCTGATGCACCCCTGTCACCCCGTTGTGGTACCATCACAGCTCTTCTCTCCACTCAGCTGTATTACTAAATATTAACCCCAATTCACAAATGTGGGATGAGAGCTTAGGTGATCCTGACTTGCTCTTCAAGTAGGACCTGGGAGGAGGGATTTCTATTGGAGCTTTTGATTCTCAGATTTATATAATGAGACTGCCTCAGACAAAAAGACGATATGGTTATAGCTTGTGTACAATTTTTTATGGTTTAAAAAGAATCAATTATTTTACTATCTACTCAGCCATATGAAAGGATCAAAATCTGGCAGATAATCTTCTTACCCTTCCTTCATCGTGATGGAAACACTTTTGTCGTTCACCACGTGTTCAGTATTTCATGCTCAGTACTGTTAAAAATTTTGGGGACTACAAAAAAATTTAAAGCATGATGTCTGCCCTTCAGAAGTTTACGTTCTAGTTACAGAGTGCTTAAATTATTTCCTTGAGGAAAAAATTGAGTAATGAATGACAACTATTATTGCTGTTTAATATATCTACTTTATCTCACTAAAGAGAGATTCTCTGAGATTTTGCTTATTTATTTTTAAAGTCATTTTCAGTGGAGAGAGAACTGCAAGATAACAACAGTAATTACCTGGATGAACCGTGGAGGATAACAGAAGAGCAACGCGAGTACTATGTCAATCAGTTTCGATCCCTTCAGCCAGATCCGAGTTCCTTCATTTCAGGTAATGAAGTCTGACAGGTGAGAATGTGGGTTCCAGATCATTGTCTCATATAAATAACATTACACGTCTTGAAAAATAGTTCACACAAAATAAGTACAACGACCTTCTGTGACTTCAATTTGTTTCCCTCTAAGATCGAATTTCTTATCAGCTATAAACCATGCAGAAAAACACTTGGCAGTGACATTTGGAAAATTATGTTTCTGTTTGAAAGGGTTAAATAGGAATGTGGTAGAACCTGGTCCAGGCCCCGTGATTTATTAGCTGGAGCAGTTCTTGAAATGATAGCATGTGGCACCAAGGCAACATCTTTAATTGCTTACTCATTATATTAGAGTTAGAGAAAGTTGTAGTTTAGCCTTCTATAGTTAGTGTTACAGTCTCCTTATGTTATATGTGCTTTAGAAGTTCAAATTTATGCTCGTTTTCTTTGGCTCAAGATTTTCTCCTCTGGTTTTTCTGAGAGAAATTAAAATATGGGAGGAAAATTGGCCAGTATTTCTATGTCCACATGTCAGTTCTTCTGGGTTGTCTTCAGAAATATGTATTCCTGTCGAGCTCTCATGTAAAATTCAAGCTGAGAGGAATTGATTTCATTCTTGTATGCCTACATTTTACTGGGCTGAAGACCAAACAAACAGTGAAATAGTAGAATTTGGAAGAAAAATTCATAAAACTTAATTTTTGTACTTCAGTTTTGAAGAATAACAAGATGTCCCTGATAATTGTAACCTGGCATTGAAGTGAGGACTTAGACTAATTTTCTCTTGTGAAATAAGGTGTATGATTGAAACACACTTGTATAAATGCAGCCATCACTTTCTGATGGGTGGTAATGGCTTTACTGAAGGCAGAATATTGTAGATACAATGAATTAATGTTAACAACAATGAATTAATGTTAACAACATGATTTAAAATAAATAAGCAGAAACACAGATTGCATGTACTAACTACTTGCTAACCTTACCCACTGCTAAAGTGAGTTGCTTCACAGTATATACAAATTATTAGACAAATACAAATAGGTAGCTGTTGGGAATGTTGTTACTTTTTTTTTTAACTTTTTTATTTTGCAGAATTTCAAATATAGATATAGCTAGAGTGGCTAGTATAACAAACCCCTATCACACAGCCCCAATAATTCTGTTTTATCTATATCCTTTCTCACCCCAGATGCTATTGAAGCAATAACCAGATCATTTCATTTGCGAATACGGGGTGGGCAAAAGTAGGCTTACAGTTGTGGGTACACAAAACACAGAATTTATTCGTGTATTTTTATTTATTAATTATTGTATTATTTTCCATACGATCAACTGTAAACCTACTTTTTCTCACCCCTGTATTTCAGGATATATCTCTAAACATAAGGACTCTTTCAAAAACATAACCACAGCCCTGGTCGGTTGTGGTTAGAGCGTTGGCCTGAGAGAGTTCAATTCTAGCCAAGGGCACGTACCTGGGTTGCAGGTTCAATTCCCAGCCCCAGCGCCTTGCGGGAGGCAATAATTAATGTTTCTCTCTCTGCCTCCCCTCCAGTATCCCTAGAAATCAATGGACAAATATCTCAGGTAAGGGGTAACAACAACAAAAAAATAATGGTTATAAAAATATTACTACAGTTCATTGGCACATGTTAAAAAAGAACATGAAAAAAAGATCATGAATTTTTAAAAAGAACAAATTCCTTAATATTATCAAGTCTTCATTGTTCAGATTTCCCTGATTGTCTCATAAATGCCTTTAAAAAAGATTTAGCTTGATCAAGGTCAAGAGGGGTTCTTATATTGTAATTAGGTGATGTCTCTTTTTAAAAAACATCTTTATTTAGATATTCACATACCGTAAAATCCACCCATTTAAAGTGTACAATTCATTGGTTTTAGTATATTCACAGATTATATTTACAATCTATATTTAGAATACTTTCATTACCCACCCCCTATAAATCACCCACTTATTAGCAAATTATTCCCCATTCCTGCTCTTCCAATCCCCCAGCTGTAGGTAACTACTAAGCTACTTTCCTTATATATAGATTTGTCTATTCTGGGATTTTCATATAAATGAATAGTATGTTATCTTTTGTGTCTTCTTTCGCTTAGCATAATGTTTAAAAGAATTTTTTTTTTAGAATGGCCGCCATCAACAAATCATCAAACAACAAGTGTTGGCGAGGGTGTGGAGAAAAGGGGACTCTAATACACTGCTGGTGGGAATGCAGACTGGTGCAGCCCCTATGGAAAACAATATGGTGCTACCTCAAAAAATTAAAAATTGAACTTCCATTTGACCCAGTGATTCCACTGCTGGGAATATACCCTAAGAAGCCTGAAACACCAATCAGGAAGAATATATGTACCCCCATGTTCATAGCAGCACTATTTACAATAGCTAAAATCTGGAAACAGCCCAAGTGTCCACCCGTAGAGGAATGGATAAAAAAGGTGTGGTACATATACACAATGGAGTACTATGCAGCGGTAAGAAAGAAAGATCTCTTATCCTTTGAGACGACATGGAGGGACCTGGAAAGTATTATCCTAAGTGAAAGAAGCCAAGCAGAAAAAGACAAATACCACATGATCTCACTTATATACGGAATATAATGAACATAACAGTCTGAGGAATACAGTAGACCCAGACACATGGAAATAGGGCACAGACTGACATCCCTCAGAAGAGGGGGTGGGAGGGGTTGGGGGGTGGGAAGAGATAAACCACAGAACTTATATGCATGTATGCATGACCAATGGACATGGACAACTAAGCAGGGGACGGGGGAGTGGGGTGGGGGGTGCCAATGGGGTAAAAAGGTAAAATGTCTGTAACAAAAAAATAAATAAAAATTCATAAAGATTAAAAAAAAAAAAAAAAAAAAATTAAAGAATTTTTTTTTTAATCCTCACCGGAGGACATTTTTGCATTTATCTTCAGATAGAGCGGGAGGGAGAGAGGGGAGAAGAAAGAGAGAGAAACATTGATGTAAGAGAGACACATCGACTGGTTGCCACCCGCACGACCCCAACCAAGGTGGGGACAAACTGCAAGCGAGGTACGTGCCCTTAGCTGGAACTAAACCTGAATCTCTGGTCCGTAGGCCGACGCTCTAACCGCTGAGCCAAACCGGCCAGGGCTAGCATAATGTTTTTAAGTTTAATCCATGCTGTACTATGTATCAGAACTTTATTCTTTTTTATGGTTGAATAATTTTATTGTATGGATAAACCACATTTTATTTATCTGTTCATCAGTTGATAGGCATTTGGGTCCCCCCCCCCACTTTTTGGCTATTAATAATGCTGCTATGAACATTTGTGTACAAGTTTTTGTGTAGAGATGTATGCTTTTATTTCTCTTGGAATAATGTTTCTCTTATACCTAGGAGTGGAATTGCTGGATCATACAGTAACTTTGTTTAACCATGTGAGGAACTGTCAGATTGTTTTCCAAAGTGGTTGCACCATTTGACATTGCCACCAGCATTGTACGAGGATTGCAGTTACTCCACATCCTCGCCAACACTTGTTACTACTTTTGATTATAGCCATCCTGAGTGTGAATTGGTATCTCTTTGTGGTTATGATTAGCATTTTCCAGATGCATAATGACGTTGAGCATCTTTTCATGTTCTTATTGGCCATTTGTATATCTTCTTTAGAGAAATGTCTATTCAAGTCCTTCGCCTTTTTTTTTTTTTTTTTTAAGAGGTAAGAGTTCTTTATGTATTCTAAATACAAGTTCCTTATCAGGTATATGATTTTGCAGGTATTTTTTCCCAATTTGTGGCTTGTCTTTTTATTTTTCTAATGGTATCATTTGCAGTAGGAAAGTTTATTTTTTACATCCTTAGCAGAGGATATTTTTTCATTGATTTTCTTCAGATAGAGTAGGGGGCGAGAAAAGAGAGAGAAAGAGAGGTGTAAACATCCATGTGAGAGAGACACATTGATTGGTTGTCTCCTGCACAACCCCAGCCGGGGCTGGGGATCAAACCCACAACTGAGGTATGTGCCCTTGACCGGGAATCAAACCCGGGACTCGGGCCAACACTCCAGCTGCTGAGCCAAACTGGCCAGGATGAAGTATGAAAGTTTTTAATTTTGATGATGTCCAGTTTATCTATTTTTTTCTGATATGTGTTTTTGAAGTCATATCTAAGAAATCATTGTCTAATCCAAGGGCATGAAATTTTACCTTTATATTTTCTTCTAAGAAGGAATATATATTATAGTTTTATTACTTACATTTAGGTCTTTGATCCCTTTTGAGTTAAATTTTGTGCGTGGTATGAGGCAGGGGTTCAAATTTATTCATTTGCATGTGGATATCCAGTTGTCTTACAACTATTGTTTTACAATTTCTGTCAAAATTCAATTGACTGTAAATGTGAGGGTTTATTTCTGGATGTTAATTCTGTTTCACTGATCTATATATCTAACCTAATGCCAATGCCACACTGTTTTGATTATTGTAGTAAGTTTTGAAGTCAGGAAGTGGGACTTCCTCAACTTTGTTCTTTTTCGTTTTAATTTTTTGGGATTACATGTGTTTTTTTTTTAAATATTCACCTGAGGATATTTTCCCACTTATCAGATAGAGTGGGGGTGGGAGGAAGAGAGAGAGAGAGACAGACAGACACATGGACATGAGACAGACACATCTACTGGCTGCCTCCCACACGACCCTGACCAGGGCCAGGGACCCAGCTGCAACTGAGGCACATGCCCTTGACCGGAATCAAACCCGCGACTCTTTGGTCCACGGGTCAGTGCTCTAGCCACTGGGCAAAATGGGCCAGGGCTTACATTTTAATTTTATATAATTTATTTACATGACTCTGCCCTGGCAGGTATGGTTCAGTTGGTTGGAGCATCGTCCCGTATGCCAAAAGGTAAAAGGTGGCAGGTTCGATTCCCAGTCAGAGCACATACCTAGGTTGTGGGTTTGATCCCTGGTCGGGGCGCGTATGGGAGGCAACTAATCAATGTTTCTCTCTCATTGATGTTTTCCCCTCTCTCTCTCTCCTCCCCCTTCCTTGCTGTAAAATCAGTTAAAAAAAAAAAAAGCATATGTTTGTGTGAAGGAAAAAAAATACATGGTTCTAAAGTCGGGTCTACGACAATCTACAAAGAAGTACAACTTCTGTCCCTATCCCCTCTACCCTGTTTTTTCCTTGCCACTATAGCTAACCATTTTAAAAAAATTTGTCTGTTTTAAAAAAATAAAAGCAAATACATGTATGTATGTATGTATATATGTATGTGTATTCTTAGCTCCATCTTTTCTTAGATAAATAGTAGCATACTATTTATACTTTTATCCACCTTGCTTATTTTCACTTAACAGTACATCATGGTTATGCCATGGTCTCATGTTGAGATATTTTCCGTTCCCCTATTATAGCTGTGTGCTACTAGATTGTGTGAATGTGCAATCATTCATTCAGCCTGTCCCCTATTAGGATTACTTCTAGTCTTTTGCTCTTACAGATATTTCTGTTGTGAATAACTTTCTGTGTATCTTTTTATATTTTTGTCAGTGTATCTTTGGATAATGTGATTTTGCTAGATACTGCAGTATACCCTTCATTGGTGTTGTATCACTTTGTCATCCTACCAGCATTGTATGAGATGCCTATTTCCCCATAGTTCCTGGATACATTTCTGAAAGAGCTACCATAGAGCTCAAATCTCACTAAAACTCTTTCCCAAGAGGCCTGTCTTATGTCTGTGTGATAAAATTAATGGTGTTAATTTTCTTTTTGCTATTTTACTTTTTCATTAGTAGTGCTTGACAGATTTTTACTTTAATAATTTTGAAATTTATCTTTTGAATTTTTAGTAAAATTTTGCACATTTTTAGTAAAAATGAAGCAGGAATTAATTCATATAATTTGCATGTCATAATAACTGTTATGTCATTGCTTCTTCTGCCCTATTCTAATTTATCTATTCTTTTAAAAGCTGTTCACATGTTGTTTTTAGCCACGTGATTTGTAGTTGCTTTAATGAAGAAATGTTGTGTTTGTGGTTATATGGTAGGAATTGTTGAAAGAAAAAATGGTGATTCATTGACATTAAATATAAAAGTTGCTCTAGATATTAATTAATGATTCATTTAAACGATGGCTGTTGACAGGTTCAGTGGCCAAGAACTTCTTCACCAAATCAAAGCTTTCCATTCCAGAACTCTCCTATATATGGTAAGTGCGATTAATGCCACATGGTATGATACAGTCATCCGTATTCATTCTTTAGTTCCTACTGTTGCATTTTAAAAGTCTAATTTTTTAATGTTTTTTTTTTAACAGACTGAGAGAGTGACTAGAATTTAAATTTTTGTTGCTGTGAAAATTAAATAAGTTATTATATGAAAAGTACAATGAACAGTGTCTGGCACATACTGCACACTGTATGTATTAGCTACTATTTAAAAAGTAATTTCCTAATTTCTATCCTCATCTACATCCCTTTTCAGTCTAAGCAATCATGTGGGCATTTGAGAATTTCCATCTTATGTATTTTATTTTCAGATTTTTGTACGTGGTACGATGCAAGTAACCAGAGAACCTTGAAAAGCTATTCTTTATAATATTTTAGAAGGCCAAGTGAACAGAAGGGCCAAAAATGTTTTGGAATTAAGTTAAATTTGACAATACTAGCTGCCTGTGAGCTTCGTAAATTTGGCTGGTGTTTATCAACTGGGCCCTAGTTCAGACTTGCAGCTGTAGCATGTACTGCATGCACCTTGCTGCCGAGCTGGCCACAGCCCTGGCTCCAAGAGGACTGTGCCGGGATGGTCCAGATGGCTCCATTTGCATCTATGAAAACGCTTGGTTCCTCCATAAACTCCCGGCTGTGTGTGGGCTGTTCTTCCTCACGACTGGGCAGGAGACTGTGCTGCTATAAATATATAATTAAAACATTAGAATATTTATGTAAAACTTTTTTTCACAAGGATTTATAAAAATTATGATAGCATTTTGCTGTGTTTTGTGCATTTTATTGGAAAACTATTGCAATAATCCTTGTGCATGCCAGTGTACCTGAGATCCTGAGCTAGATTTATTCATTAGCAATATATTCTAGCATAATTTATTTTTTACAACAAGCCTTATATTAGATTTTAAAGCTAGGGAAAAAAAGAAATGATCATTTTCAGAAGACTACAATCTGTTTTGGCAGAATTCCCAGTCTTAACCATAATTGGCATGAGGCTTCCTGTCTTTTTCTGGGGACGTATACATAAAAGCCGAATGGTATTCTCTTCATCCAGCACTGACAGCAGTCCCCCGATTCCTCAGCCTGGGGAGCTGCTATTTCAGGGCTGGTACATTCTAAATATTTGAGAGGGAGGAAGATGTGAATGGAGCTTACCTTCAATATTATTTTTTTCAAATAGTAACACCTTTCTATATTTTTATATGTACATTTTTATATGTCTTATCTCTTCACTTGTCCTAGCACAAGTATACTTGTCTCTGTACACCTAAGAGACTGGTTGAGCTTAGAGGGTCTTAGTTACTTTGGTAAATAGATTTCTTTTGTGCTGAGTAAATAGGTTTGTGCCTTTCAGTGGGAAACAATGTCTGAAGCAAAGATAAGCCTTTTCAAGACTCTCTCTTTCTTCCTTTCTGTCTTATCTGGTTCCAGCCTTCCCTAGTTGCTTGTTTTATCTGAAAACATAATTCAACCAGTATTTATTGAGTTTACTTATATTTTCCCAGGAGGGGATTCTCAAGCAAAATTCTGATACAACATTTATGTGACTTGAAAAGTTCAAGGTTTTTTCTTAAAGCTAAAAAATGAAGCACTCATTCCTGAGCTCCAGTAACTGATAATGGCCAGAACAACTGTAAAAGGGCCGGGGCCAGCCTGTCCTCTGACTGTTTTGAGCACCAAGTCAGGAGCTCTTCACACCACACTTTTATTGAGTGGCTGTCAACTGTGGAATTCTGGGCATCTTTTTACTTTTTGTGTCATAGTTGCTTGTGTTGTGTACTTAGCATTATAAAAGAGACCTACTAGAGAACCTGAAGAATTTAACTTTTTATTTATAAAGTACTACCGATACCAGTGCTATCAATCATACTTTTTCTTCCTCCAAGTTGGCCCCCTGAGATTTCATATGGGTTTGGGGACTCATCAGGGTCACCACTAGAGAGCCTGGGAATTGTGTTTGCATGTTTGAAGCTGAGTAAATTTCCCTCTAAGCCCAGTGTTAGGTACTCATGACATCTGTTATATTTAGGGAACTTAGTGATGCTGACTGTGATGGAGCCCTGACCCTGCCGGAGTTCTGTGCTGCGTTTCATCTCATTGTGGCCCGGAAGAACGGCTATCCACTTCCCGAGGGCCTCCCTCCAACTCTGCAGCCAGAGTACCTGCAAGCAGGTAAGGCCTCATCATAAATCCTAATCCCCAGACATTTTCCATTCAGGCCTTGCAAGAAACTTTTGTTTCTTAAATGGTGTCCAGACGCTTTGGGGAGTCCTTTGTATCTACAATTATTGTCCTTTAACTGATATTAGACTTTATCTTATAATATGAGTAATAGGGATGACCTGGGTGTGAGTCATCTGCTATCCTCTGGATGGGTTTGAACTAAAGTCACTTACCCTTTCATGAAAGTTGTGGCGTAGGCAACAACTAAATCTCCCAACTGATAGAAAATGAAGAGGAAGATCTTCCTATACAGCCAAGTGTTCACTTGGTGTCTTTAGGCGCATCCCAGTGTTCCTAAGAGGCTTTGGGCAAGGAAGTGAAATAGAACTGTTGTTATACCTAATGAAAAAGTTTTTAAAAAATTATATAAGCAGCGAAATCTACAAAGTATTGTAATTTTAAATATACACTTGATGGATTTTTACATATGTATGTACCCATGTAACTGCAGTTAGATAAAGATTCAGAACATTCCAGCACATCAGAAGGTTGGAATAGATCTCTCTTTGTCTTTCTCATTAATAAAACAGTTACTCCACAAAACCTTTGGATAGGAAAGAGTCGTGGTGTGTCCAACATTTATATCAATTCCTTCAGAAGACTGGACAAATTAGCAGTTTCTCTTGCCCTTTTCAGAGGCAGTGGGCTGTGATCTGATTTCTATTACTCAGAGGAATATAGCTTTCATTGAAAGCCAGAAACATCTGGTGCTTTCAACAGCCTTTCTCACTTTTTAGGCAAGCAAGGTCTCTTCAAAGTATGAGAGCTTAGTCATGGATAATTATTGGCAAGAGGGATCAGTGTCAAAAGAAAATATGATTAGTCATTAATAGAATATAAGTTTTGTGGTTAGATCTGGAAAAGGCCTTAGATTATCTTATCTTGTCCTCTCCTCCAGATTCAATGACAACACCAGATTCAAAGTGGTCAGTGACTTATCTAGGTCAGTTTTGAGGTCTCTGACTCTTAAATAAAAGTCTGTCATTTTCTATATTATGTAGTGAGCAGGTGGAGGGGGTTGAGCTGAGACTTGAAGGGAAGAGACCAAGTATATGGCTGATGCCAGTGATAGGTAAACATGTTAGGGAAAGCGTGACCCATTTTGGTATCTTCTCCAAATGCCCCCATAAATATATATGAAGGAGAAGCTTCAGAGAGCAAAAGCTACTACCCATTTTGGAGTTTGGGCTTTGCTAATAGCAGCTGCTTTCTGACTGCAGCAGGCTGTAACTATAGCCTGCTACAGGTTGGGGGAGACCCTCAGGGGTCTTCAAGAGCTAGTTTGCAATTGGGCAGCATGACAAATTGCTCAATTTCTTCTTTGGTGTCTCTATCTCCCTGTCTGCCCCCCCCCACTTCCCCACTCTTCCCATCCCTCTTTCTTGGATTGAGGCAAAGAAATAAAATATTCCTCAGGCTGTCTTGGCAACTGCATGGCTCCCCAATCAGTGAATGGTCATCCAGGAACCCCTTCTCCTTGGAGTGGGGTCACATGGAGCTTTGTCTCTCTTTAATGGGGATGAGCTGCTGACCAAAGGGCCATGGTCTGCTCCGGGGCTATTTGGTTATATTTAATACCATCACTCTTTCCTTTTGCAAGCCCTGGAGCTCCTGGGTCACTTCATTTCCCATGACTACACTTAGCTTTCTGTTTTGGGGTCTTGATTATTGCTGTTTTATTCTGATGCAGTATGGCCATGGAACCTATGCCAGTTGTCCTGATTCCTCGTTCACTTTGTAGGTGTCCAAGTGTTTCAGGGACTGTTTCAAAAGTCACTGATAAAAATTTTTACAAATCTGAAAGCCCTGAGCAAAAAAAAAAAAAAAAAAAATGTGTTAACAGAAGAGAAGTAGCTTCTTAATTCCTTTACTGCTCCAGATGGCTGCTTTTGCCTTGCTTACGCACTGGGGGAGGGGGGGGGCGAGGGGGGGCGGGCTGTGAAATAGAGCACTAGCCAAGAGGCATCTCACTTCATTTGGAATGAAGCCCCTTGTTTCTTCCTGGTCTTCTGTGAAGGCTGTTAGTGTGCATTTATACAGAAACGACTGAGGAATCCATCATATACCCTTCAATTAAATGAAAATTGCACATCATTTTTAGAGCTTGTAGGCTCAGTCTTAAATAATATTTATATAGTTCTAACAAAAAACATGAGAGACCTCATAAATCCCTAATCACACCTAATGACAGCATATTTTATGCAGACCCTGTGGGGTCTGCATAACTTATGTTTTATCACCCATGTTTATCTTTGTATATAGGCTCAAGAAGATGGCCAAAACTTCCTAGATCTTCTCTGTGCTTTTAGACTTTGAAATATGAGTGGTCCTGCTGATTTTGGGGGTTCATTTTTATGGTATCCCTTTGACTTAAAAAAAAAACTTAGCTCTTGTTCTAACAGTTTTCTAATTGATCTATATTCTTTCAAAAAATCTAATCCAGTTTTTGACAAGATTACTGAGGAATATAAATTTGGTTGATACCATCATGCATTCACAACTACATAAGTTTGTTTGTTTTTTTTGTTCAGATAGAGTGGGAGGGAGAGAGAGGAAGAGAGAGAGAGGGAGAAACATCGATGTGAAAGGGACACATTGAGTGGCTGACACCCATACGACCCAACCAGGGCCGGGGACAAACTGCAACCGAGGTACATGCCCTTAGCAGGAACCGAGCCCGGGTCTCTGGATCGCAGGTTGATGCTCTAACTGATGAGCCAAACCAGCCAGGGCCGCAAGTTTGTTTTCAATAAAATAATGAAACAGGAATTGTTGTATCTGATTTCCTCCCTAACAGTGAAAATTAAACGGCAGAGTTGGAAGGAAAAGTTGGATTATTTTGTGGCTAACCCATAGACCTTTTGATATTTTCATGTCTGGGTGATGGGGCTGATTCAGGTATAGATTTTGACCGTTGTTTTTAAAAAATATTTCAGCCCTGGCCGGTTTGGCTCAGCGGTTAGAGCATTGGCCCTTGGACCAGAGAGCCCTGGGTTTGGTTTCAGCTAAGGGCGCACATACCTTGGTTGCAGTTCGTCCCTGGCCTCTGTTGGGGTCGTGCGGGTGGCAACAAGTCGATGTGTCTCTAACGTCGACGTTTCTCTCTCTCTCTTTCTCCTGCTCTATCTGAAGATAAATGCAAAAATGTCCTCAGGTGAGGATAAAAAATAAATAAATAAATATTTTAGTACTTACTATTAAAGGCACTGTGTTATTCTCTCTGGTTAGAATGCTGAATAAAAGAGAGTTCCGGCCTGGCTGGTGTGGCTCAGTGGATTTCCCCTGGACTGAGAGGTCCTGGTTCGATTCCTGGTCAGGGCACACGCCTGGGTTGCCAGCTCAATCCCCAGTGTGGGGGCATGCGAAAGGCAGCCAATCAGTGTTTCTCACATCGGCGTTTCTGTCTCTCCCTGAAAAGTCAATAAAAACATTTTTTTAATATAAAAAAAGAGTTCCTACCATCATGGAACTTGCTGGCAGTTAGATTGATGTTAAATAAACTCATGTATGCATAATTGGAGCCAGTTAGGTAAAGGAGGGAGAAGAGTTGGCTCTGGCAGAGGGGATAGCAGGTATGTTGCAGAAGCTCTGAGAAGGGGCTTGAAGCAAGAGAGGTATGTAAAGCTCAGGTCACAGTGCACTTTGCTGGAGTGCAGAGAGCCAGGGCTGGAGGGGATGGGGATGGGGATGAGGCTGAAGAAGGTGGGGGACAATGACATTGACGTGTTTCAAACAGGAACTGACACAATCAGATTTGCTGTTTGAAAGGATCCTGCTGGTTGCCTACTGTAGAGCAGGTTTTAAGGAGCAAGGGTGGAAACCTGAAGATCAGGTTACAGCAGTAGTCCAGTCAGGAGCTGTGGGGAGGCTGGCACTGGGGAGGTGACAGTAGAGATGCAGAGATGAGGACAGCTGTAGGGAGATTTAGTAGTTAATTGATGGCATTTGTAGTTTTTGAAGATGTTAGCTTTTCACCCAGCAAGATCTCATCATGATAAGGCATTAGTCATGTAATTCTGTGAGTGCACTGATGAACTAGAGAGAAAAATCGTGTCTCAGTTAAAACTGCTCTTGGGGCTGAATTGAGAAATAGTATTTTCAAAAGTGTTTTGCTGTTTTTACCAAGGATGGAGTGAGGCCACCTGGTATAGTCAGAAAAATCACCAGGGCCTGTGGTTTGGATGACCTGATATCAGTGAAATTCAGGCCAGAGTACACAAATGAACAATTTGAGGTACTTGAATTCAACCGTCTGTGGTGTTACTCACTGGCCAGTACTTTACTGCGAAGGGAAGTTGGTATTTGAAACCTTGGTGGGGATGGGAGGGTGAGAAAGGATTAATAACAATGCCAATTCATTTTAAACACTTGATTCAAAAAATTGTTTTAAATATGGTGAAAAGATTTCCTGGATCCAGTTCCGACTGGTACATGTGGAGGCTTCCCCACACCACCAAGCAATTCTTGTGTCTAAGAACTCAACTAAATTCTGACACTCTCTAACTATAGATAGAATCAGATTCCACAGGTAAAGGGCTCCACAAGACCGCCCTCCACTTCAGATGCCAGTCACAAGTCCAGGTTGTTACCTGTGCTTCTGACCAACTGGTTGTGAATTAGAAGCTTCCGCAATTCCCTCCTCGGGTTCAATGAATTTGCTAAAATGGCTCATAGAACTCAGGAAAATTCATTTACTCACTAGATTACTGATTTATTATGAAGAATATTAAGGGAACAGCCTGATGAAGAGATATAAAGGCCAAGGTCCTGAACAAAGGAGCTTCTGTCCTCCTGAAGCTTGGGATCCAATACGGTGGCACATGGAAGCGTTCTGGTTCACCAACATGGAAGTTCTCCTTAAAAGGGACCTACTAGCTATACTTTTGGGTTTTTATGAAGACTTCATTACATAATCATGATTCACTGAGTCATTGGCTATTGGTGATTGATTCAACCTCAAGCCTCTCTCCTTCCTGGGAAATAAGAGCTGGGGCTAAAAGTTCCAATCCTCTAACCATATGGCAGCCTGGCCAACATCCTTTGGTGGGTTTCAAAAGTCATCTCCTTAACATAATAAGAGACACCATTGTTGCTCTTATTACATAGGAAATTCCTAGGGGTTTGGGAGCTCTGTGTCAGAAATAGGGATTAAAACCAAATATATATTTCTTATTATAAATCATAATGTCACACATGGCATTAAAAATTTGATTTCTTAGTAGATGTTCTTGACAAATTTGATTTGTAGCTTCTATTTATTGTCTACCCCAATCTGCTTTTCCTCTGGAATATTGACATTTTCTAGTTGTTGAGACATTTCTTTCTTAATTACTTTGTGACAAAGTGGTGAACCAATCAATCCACTTCTAAGAAATAACATGAGTGTTAATTAAGTATTAGCTTACCTAGCAGCATGATTTTTCCTCATGCTGGTCCAGTCACCCTCCCAAGTAACAGCCCTTATCACTGTTCTGTTAGAAATTCAAAACGTGTTCTGAGAGGGAAGTTCATAGCACTACAGGCCTACCTCAGGAAACAAGAGAAATTTCTAATAGACTATCTAACATCACAACTTAAAGAACTAGAAAGCAAACAAAAAGAAAACTCCAGAGTAAGTAGAAGGAATGGAATAGTAAAGATCAGAGCAGAAATAAATGACAAAAAAAAAAACAAAAAACAATTCAAAGGATCAAGGAAGCAGAGCTGGTATTTCGAAAAGATAAACAAGATTGATGTACCTTTAGCTAAACTCACCAAGAAACAAAGAGAGAGAACCCAAATACACAAAATCAGAAATGAAAGAGGAGAAGTAACAACTGACACCACAGAAATAGAAAGGATCGTTAACTACTATGAACAATTATATGGCAACAAATTAGACAATCTAAGCAAAATGGACAAATTTCTAGAAACACATAGTCTCCCAAAACTGGACCGGGAAGTGATAGAAAACTTGAACAGACCAATAACAACCAAGGAAATTCAAGAGGTGATCCAGACTCTCCTAGCAAACAAGCCCAGGCCTGGATAACTTCATGGGGAAGTTTTACTGAACATTCAAAGAAGAACTAACACCCCTTCTCCTCAAACTATTTCAAAAAATTCAAGAAGAAGGAAGACTTCCAAACTCGTTTTATGAGGCCAGCATAATTATAATTCTAAAACCAGAAAAAGATACTATGAAGAAAGAAAACTACAGGACAATATCCCTGAGGAATATAGATGCCAAAATCCTGAACAAAATACTAGCAAATCGGATCCAGCAATACATCAAAAAAAAAAAAATTATTCACCACGACCAAGTGGGATTCATCCGAGGGATGCAAGACTGGTACAATATTTGCAAATCAATAACTGTGATACACCACATAAATAAAATGAAGAATAAAAACCACATGATTATATCAATAGATGCCGAAAAAGCCTTCGACAAAATCCAGCATCCATTTCTGATAAAAACGCTCATCAATGTGGGAATAGAGGGATCATATCTTGACATAATAAAGGCCATATATGAAAGACCTACAGTCAACATCATACTCAATGGGCAGAAACTAAAAGCATTTCCCTTAACAAGAACAAGACAGGGATGCCTACTTTCGCCACTTGTACTTAACATAGTACTGCAAGTCTTAGCCACAGCAATCAGACAGGAAGAAAAAATAAAAGGGATCCAAATTGGAAAGGAGGGAGTGAAACTGTCATTATTTGCAGATGACATGATATTATACATAGAAACCCTAAAGACTCCATCAAAAATCTACTAGACTTAATAAATGAATTTGGCAAAGTAGCAGGATACAAAATTAACATCAAGAAATCGATGCCATTCTTATACACCAATGATGAACTCACAGAAAGAGAAACTGAAAAAACAATCCCATTTACCATTGTGGCAAAAAAATTAAGATACCTAGGAATAAACTTAACCAAAGAAATAAAGGACCTATTTGCAGAAAACTACAGGTCATTGAAAAAGGAAATAGAGGAAGATATAAAAAAGTGGAAGCACATACCTTGTTCATGGATTGGAAGAATTAACATCACTAAAATGTCCATATTACCCAAAGCAATCTATAGATTTAATGCAATCCCCATCAAAATACCAATGACGTATTTCACAGAACTGGAACAAATACTTCAAAAGTTCGTATGGAATCAAAAAAGCTCCCGAATAGCCACAGGAGGTAATGTGATCCCTCCTACAAAGAAGAACAAAGTAGGAGGGATCACATTACCAGATTTCAGGTTATACTACAAAGCCACTGTAATCAAAACAGCCTGGTACTGGCACAAGAACAGGCATATAGACCAGTGGAACAGAACAGAGAACCCAGAAATGGACCAAAGACATTATGCTCAATTAATATTTGATATAGGAGGCAAGAGCATACAATGGAGTAAAGACAGCCCCTTTAATAAATGGTGTTGGGAAAATTAGACAGCTACAGGCAAAAAAAAAAAAAAAAATGAAACTTACACCACACACAAGAGTAAACTCAAAATGGATAAAAGACTTAAATGTGACCCGTGTATCCATAAAAATCCTAGAAGAAAATGTAGGCAACAAAATTTCAGACATCATATGCAGCATAATTTTCACTGATACATCACCTAAGGCAACAGAAAAAAAGGAAAAAATGAACAAATGGGACTACATCAAACTTAAAAGCTTCTGCACAGCAAAAGAAACAACCATCAAAATGGAAAGGCGACCCACTGTATGGGAGAGCATCATTGCCAATGATACATCAGATAAGGGGTTAATTTCCAAATTATATAGAGTATTCATACAACTCAACAAAAGGAAGACAAAGAACCCAATTAAAAAATGGGCTGAGGAGCCCTGGCCAGTTTGGCTCAGCGGTTAGAGCGTCGGCCTGCGGTCCGGAGAGACCCGGGTTCGGTTCCCACTAAGGGCATGTACCTCGGTTGCAGTTTGTCCCCGGCCCTGGTTGGTCGTGCGGGTGGCAGCCACTCAATGTGTCCCTTCACATCGATGTTTCTCTCTCTCTCTCCCTTCCTGTCTCTCCCTCCCACTCTATCTTTACAAAAAATGGAAAAATATCCTTGGGTGAGGATAAAAAAAAAAATGGGCTGAGGAGCTGAATAGACACCTCTCCAAATAGGTCATACAAATGGCCAAGAAATGCTCAACATCACTAATCATCAGAGAGATGCAAATTAAAACAACAATGAGGTATCACCTCACACCTGTCAGAATGGCCGCCATTAACAAATCATCAAACAAGTGTTGGCGAGGGTGTGGAGAAAAGGGGACTCTAGTACACTGCTGGTGGGAATGCAGACTGGTGCAGCCACTATGGAAAGTAATATGGTGTTACCTCAAAAAATTAAAAATTGAACTGCCATTTGACACAGTGATCCTGCTTCTAGGAATATACCCTAAGAAGCCTGAAACACCAATCAGAAAGTATATATGTACCCCCATGTTCATAGCAGCACTATTTACAATAGCTAAGATCTGGAAACAGCCCAAGTATCCATCCATAGACGAATGGATAAAAAAGCAGTGGTACATATACACAATGGAGTACTATGCAGCTGTAAGAAAGAAAGATCTTTTATCCTTTGAGACAACATGAAGGGACCTGGAAAGTCTTATCACACAATGGAGTACTATGCAGCTGTAAGAAAGAAAGATCTCTTATCCTTTGAGACAACATGAAGGGACCTGGAAAGTCTTATCCTAAGTGAAGCAAGCCAAGCAGAAAAAGACAAATACCACATGATCTCACTTATTTGTGGAATATAATGAACATAACAGTCTGAGGAATAGGGTAGACCCAGAGATGTGGAAGTAGGGTACAGACTGACAACCCTCAGAAGAGGGGGTAGTGGGGGGAGGGAGGAGATAAACCACAGAACTTATATGCGTGTATGCATAAACAATGGGCAGGGACAACAAAGCTGGGCATAGGGTGGGGGCATGGGGAGGAGGGTGTCAATGGAGAAAAAAAGGAGAAACATCTGTAACAAAAATAAAATAATAATAATAAAAAAAGGATTCATAACGTGATTCTTGTTAATCAGCAAGAACCTATACTCTTACTTTTGTTATTTCTTCTAACCAAGAGAAAGGAGTATATCAAAGTTTTCTTGGACACATATCATCATAACATCTTGTCTATTTCCAACAAGAATATCTAAAACGTATTATTTCTTTAATGTTTATAGTATTAAAACTATCACCATAGTTACTACTATTTAAAAATTATGCTAGTAGCATAGTTAAAACTTAAGTATTGTGATAGTAATGGTTAATGTGGAAAACAATTATGTTTCAATATGAAATGCTAAAAGCATGGACATTCTATCAAGATTGCTGGCAGTTCAAGTCCCTGCTTAACCATTTACCAACTAGATGACCTTAAGTAAGTTGCTTGACTTCCTGGTTCCTCAGTTTTATCATGTGTAAATGGGGATGATAGAAGTTTCAGGTTGAATATATAGAAAACTTAAAATACTATCTCAGTGTGATTAGTAGCATGACTAGTATATAGGAGCCAGCTGATTTTGTTCTTATATAGGAAACAGTGCCTGCTATGACTATATGTATTCTTTTTTGTTTCTTCTTAGCCTTTCCTAAGTCCAAGTGGGAGTGTGCGTTATTTGATTCTTATTCTGAGTCCATGCCAGCAAACCAACAACCCCATGACTTGAATCGGATGGAGGTAAAAATCTTCATATGTTAATTAGTTAGGGATGTATTTAGAATTAAATCCTTTAGCCTATGTGCTAAAATCCACTTTTATAACATTTTCTCTTCATAGTACTTACTTTGGGGCTCCTCCTTTCAAATCTAGACACTATATTTATAATTACCTTTTCTCTTTTCTCCCTAAAACTAGATATGGTGAAATAAGCAAAATAGTCTCTTGACTTTCTAGAGGTGAAATTGAGGTATAGTCAAACTAAGTCTGAAAAATGCTAGCCAAGTTATTTACTTTAACCAAACTTTAATTCCAAAGTAAACATTGTAACGTTGTATTTTTAGTAGCTGAGTATTAAAATATAATGAACTAGAACAGTTTTGAGAGGAGGTTTAAGAACTATATAAGGGGGCCTGAAACCACATGGAAAGCTGCCTTCTGCTTCAGAGGTTTTAACGTTTGGACCCGATGAAGACGGATTTGGATGATTCCTAAGAGAAACCCAAATTCCCACCATGGTGGCCCATTGATGTAGAGTCTTAGCCACATGCTTAGTGGTCCTTCAGTATGCATCGATAAATAGTTGTTATGGTTATTGTTCATTTCAACACTATCATCATTATCATCGTGATTGCAGTGATGACAACTCATGATATCTGCTGTTCCTGTCCTAAAAAAATACGGAAATATCTAATAAATGGAGGTCGGTCAGTCGGTCGATTATCTATCTATCTATCTATCTATCTATCTATCTATCTATCTATCTATCTATCTATCAATCATTTATCATCACAGGCTCTTATTACATGTCTCTGGCCCTAGTTAAAACCATTGCAAGATGATAGAAGTCAAAGGCAGTGTACAGGGCCATTTCTTTAAGTTCTTATAATTGTGTGTGATTATTCTTTTCCTGCTTCTACAGTGCTCCCTCTGTAAACAGTTCTCTTGGCCTCTCTGCTGCTCTTTCTTTGAGTTGTAGCCTCTATATTACTTTCCTCAACATACTTCTACTCGTGGGGAAAAGATGTAATAAAAGTTATTTCAGGAGGAGTGATAGATATGCTTTTGAAGAGTTTTGGCCTTTTACATTTCTTTTTCTGTATATTGCATATGATGGAGAAACATATAACAGTAGTTAGCCACTTTTGATGGCTCTCAGTCTACTCTGGGGCTGCTGGCAGTGTCTGGAGAAGCTTGTCTGTCAGGCCAGGACACATAACCTCCCTCCTTAGCTCTCATGTGCAGTTGCCCCGGTTTTTTTGTTTTGTTTTGTTTTTGCTATGAGTCCCCCTGCTTGTGTAAAATTATGAGGTTGTCAGGTGATTTACTAAAAAGTATCATAAATTCTTACTCCTGCTAGATAAATATTTTGTTCCAGCTTGCCATGGTATCTATCAGATGGTCTTTGCCTTTCTAACAGAGACAAACAATGCTTTTTTTAACTCAGAAATTAATAACTGACTTACACACACACAGACCTTATATGCAGCTAAGTTTTATATCCTTTAACTGGCTCCTTTGAGGGGGCAGGTTAAAAGCTACCTAGTTTTTGCTTTGCCTTGTCCAAACAAGAAAGCAAAAGAGCAACAAAAAACTCTTTCCCAACAAAACTGTTATCTTCAAGGGTGGGGTACTTTTAGATAACGATGTAATAAACAAAATTCAGGGCTGACCTGATAAGGTTAATTGATGGTTTAACCATTTGAGCAGTATAAGTCGGATTTTAATAGCTAATGATTAAATATTTCATGGTCTTCTAAACCAGTAGTTCTCAACCTTTGGGTCGCGACCCCTTTGAGGGTCAAAGGACCTTTTCACAGGGGTTGCCTAAGACATAACAGTAGCACAATTATAGTTATGAAGTAGCAACGAAAAAATTTTATGGTTGGGGGTCACCACAACACGAGGAACTGTATTAAAGGGTCACGGCATTAGGAAGGTTGAGAACCACTGTTAAACTATTTCATTCATTGTTCTTTCTACAACCTTTTAATCTTCCATGAATATGTGCATGGAGTTTAAATATATCTTGGTATCAGCCCTCTGAGGGATGACTCCATATAGGTGTTTGTGTATGACTGAAGCTGTAGCTGATTCAGGTCTTGAGAAGTTTGCTCAGCAGTACATCTTTTTCTAAAGACAGCAGAGTTGCACCATGTTCCATCAAGAATTAAAGATTATCATTTCAGGTATACTCCTCTTAAGCAGGGTTTTTTAGTTCACTGGATTTCTTTCTTTTCTATACAGCTTTACTGAGATATAATTCACATATCATACTCATTTAAAGTATACAATTCAGTGGTTTTTAGTATATTAAAAGTGGTGGAACCATCACTATAGTCTAACTTTAGAGCATTTTTATCATCCCCAAAAGAAAGCCTGTATTCGCCCTGGCCGGTTTGGCTCAGCGGTTAGAGCGTCGGTTCCCGCTAAGGGCACGTGCCTCGGTTGCAGTTTGTCCCCGGCCCTGGTCGGTCGTGCGGGTGGCAGCCACTCGATGTGTTCCTTTCACGTCGATGTTTCTCTCTCTCTCTCTGTTCCTCTCTCTCCCTCCCACTCTACCTGAACAAAAAATGGAAAAATGTCCTCTGGTGAGGATAAAAAAACAAACAAACCTGTATTCATTCATTGTCATTCACTATCCCCACTGTCCCCAGCCTCTGGTAATCACTAATCTATTTTTTTGTCTCTGAATTTACCTGTTCTGGACATTTCATATAAATAGAATCACATAATATGTGGTCTTTTGTGACTTGCTTCTTAATGTAATGTGTTTTTCAAATATGTTTTTTATTGATTTTTTTTTTTAAGCAAGAGAGAGGAAGGGAGCGAGAGATAGAAACATCGATGTGAGAGAGAGAAACATCGATCAGCTGCCTCCTGCACGCTCCCTATTGGGCATCGAGCCCTCAACCTGGGCATGTGCCCTGACCGGGAATTGAACTGGGACCTCTCAGTCCATGGGATGACGCTCAATCCACTGAGCTACAGCAGCTGGGCTATACTATAATGTTTTAAAGTTCATTCATATTGTATCAGTGTCTAATTCCTTTTTTATTCCATTGTATGAATATGCCACATTTTGGGTGTCCATTCTTCAAATGATGGACATTTGTGTTGTTTCCACTTTGGGGCTGTTAGAAAAAAAAAAGTGCTGCTATGAACATTCATGTACAAGTTTTTGTGTGAATATATTTTCAGTTATCTTGGGTATATACCTAGTTGTGGAATTGTTGGATCATATTATAACTTGTGCTTAACTTTTTGATGAACTATCAAACTGCATTGCAAAGCAGCTGCTGTACCATTTTATATGTCTCCACCAGTAACATAGAAGGGTTCCAATTTCTCCATGTCCTTGTTAACACTTGTACTAGTCTGTCTTTTTTATTTTAGCCTTCTTAGAGGGAGTAAAGTGGTATTTCGTGGTTTTTGATTTGGATTTCCTAATGACCGACAATGGGGAGCATCTTTTTGTGTACATATTAGCCATTTGTGTATCTTCTTTGGTGAAATGTCTATTCAAATCCTTTGTTTATAAATTGGTCTATTACTGAGTTATAAGTGTTCTTTATATATCCTGGATATAAGTCCCTTACTAGGTATATAATTTGCAAGTATTTGCTCTTTCTTTGATTTTTCTTTTTCCTTTCTTGATAGCATCCTTTACAACACAAATGTTTGTTTTGATGAAGTTCAATTTTATCTTTTCTTTGGTTACTTGTGCTTTAGGTGTCACATCTAAAAAACCATTGACTAATATAAAATCATGAAGATTTACTCCTTTGCTTTCTTCTAAGAGTTTTATAGTTTAGGTCTTACATGTAGGTTTATGATCCATTTTGAGTTCATTTTTGTGTATGCTGTGAGGAAGAGGTCTAACTTCATTCTTTTGTATATGGATTATTTAGTTATTCCAGCATCATTTATTGAAAAAACAATCCCCCCTTGAATTGTTTTGCACCTTTGTTGAAGATCACTTGACCATATATGTAAAGGTTTATATATGGATTCTCAAATCTATCCCATCTATATGTCATTATGCTAGTACATATCACATCGTCTTGATTACTGTAAGTTTTGACATTGGAAAGGATGAGTCCTTCAACCTTTTTCTTTTCTTTCTTTTTTTTTAATCCTCACCTGAGGACATTTTTGCATTTATCTTGAGATAGAGTGGGAGGGAGACAGGGAGGAAGAGGGAGAGAGAAACATCGACGTGAGAGAGAGACACATTGAGTGGTTGCTACCTACATGACCCCAACTGGGGCCAGGGACAAACTGCAGTGAAGGTACGTGCCCTTAGTGGGAACCAAACCCGGGCCTCTCTGGTCTGCAGGCCAACGCTCAAACCGCTGAACCAAACTGGCCAGGGCTCAACCTTTTTCTTTTTTAAGAATATTTTCACTATTCTGAATTCCTTGCATTTCCATATGAAATTTAGGATCATCTGGTCAAATTCTGCAGAAAAGCAAGAAGGATTGCATTGAATCTGTAGATGAATTTGGGGCATAGTGCCATCTTAACAATATTAAGTTTTCTGATTAATGAGCATGAGATGTCTTCCTATTTATTTAGATTTTTAAAATTTTCTTTCAACTTTTTTTTTTGAATTTCTTTTTATCTACATTTTCTTCTCCTAAGTCATTTTATTCTACTGAGGATCTGGTTTATAATGTAGGTGGGAAAAGAAAATGAAAGAAAGGCACTGTTAAGATATATTCATTGTTCCATTGGAGATGGTAGATTTTGAATGGGAAATTACATCTGGACGCTTCATTATAATGCCAAGAATGACCTGCCTGTGGATTAAATCTTAGATCAGATTACTACCAAGCAGTACTATAACTCTATTCTTTGGAACAGTTTAAAAAAAGAAGTATTATTTATCTCTCTAGGGTTGTTCAGATTCTGAGAGATAAACCAGTTAACCTTTTGGAGCACCAGGTAGCTCCAGGAATTTACCCTATTTCCTTTAAGTTTTAAATTTTATTTTTATTTAATTTTTTGAATATGTTTAAAATAAAAAGAATACCCAAAGGCATATAGTGACAAACCCTCCTCCCATCCCTTTCCTCTGTGTACATAATCACTCTTCAATTTTTACATATCTTTCCAGAATTTGTTTATATATATAGTGAATATAAATATATATTATTCTTTAATCCATCAGAAGTCTTAGAGTGCATGTTAATTGAGACTTAATTTTTTTTTTCTTTATTGATTCCAGATAGAGAAGAAGGGAGAGGGAGAGAGAGACAGAAACATCGATGAAAGAGAACATCGATTGGTTGCTTCCTGCATACCCCCCACTGGGGATTTGGCCCACAACCTGGACGTGTGCCCTGACCAGGAATCGAACCGGTGACCTCTTGGTGCATGGGTCGATGCTCAACCACTGAGCCACACTGGCCAGGTGTTAATTGAGACTTTATAAGAACTAAATTTTTACATGGACATGGACAGTAGTCTGGTGATTGCAGGGGATGGTGTTGGGGGTAGGTGGAAGAGGAAGAGAGCATAAAGGAATAAATGATGATGGAAAACATAAAATGAAATAAAGTAAAATAAAATAGATAAAAATGCTAAAAAAGACATAAATTTATAGTAAGTAGATTTTAAACTAGTCAATACTTGATCAATTTGGGTATTAACGTTATTAGCATAAGTGAAGACTTTTCTCATAATTCAGTTAGGAAGAAATTTTCTTCTGCTCATTAGTAAAATTTTCTTATTTCAGGATAAGGAGGCTATTTTAATCAGGGTAGAACACCCTCTGCTTAACAGACCCTGGCAAGTACCCACTTTATGGGGCCACTTGTCAAAAACCTCTCTCTGCTTGTGTAAAAGTACCTAAATGACAGCCTTATTCGTGACTGAATGGACAAGTGCTACAAGATTCTCTGGCTAAATCCTGCACAGGATTCAGATTTAATATGTGGTCTATACATATGCCTCAATCTGAATTGTTATTTTTCCTTCTATGCATATATCTATTTCAATACAAATTAACTTACCCCTCACTAGGAACCTAAAAAAATAAAATAGTATTAAATGCCAGGGTTTACTGAAGACACAGATATTGGCAAGATATATAGCTTTTAAAACATTTTCATTATGTATGCACAGTACTTCATTTCTATTCAGTCTGTATAATTAATTTTCTTTCCTTTCCCAAGAAGTTATCTATTAAAGACATGGCTGAGTTTCCTGTTCCTACTCAAGATATGACTGGTGATGACAAACAAGGTATGAAAAGAATGAGTTTTCTTTCTTTAAGGACATTCTGCCTATTTTTTTTTTAATTTATTTTTTTTTGGACTGGTTGGCTTCTAGAGCACATGAGGACAGTTATCAGTATATGAACACATTTGGATGAATTAAGTAGTTCAAATTGTTGTCCCAAAACTATAGTTCATAAAGTGGTAACAAGAGCTTGAGTGTCCAAAGCCCCCCAAGCTCATTGGCCCCTTACTCACTGTTGATCCTTAGGCTATCCTGACATCTTACATTGGAATCTCGGTGTACTAATTAGGAAATGACTGGAAGCTGAAATAATTGAGAACTTAGCGTCTTATTTTGGTAGATGTGATCCCAGAGCATCAATATAAATGCACATTTGTACATAGGTCTAGTCCATGAGGAAATTATCTTCCGGAGAGAGTTTCTGTTCCTGAGCTTTATTATCTGTGACTGTGGGTGTGGGGCTATGATATGGAGCCCAGCAACAATTTATCTGTGTAATTGGGCAGATGAGAAGCTGTGTAGCACAGTGATCCATGTATAGCTATCACCAAGCACAGAGATAAGTTGCTCTCTAGAAGAGCAGGAGGAACCCCCACCTCGACTCCATACTTCTGTATAATGCTTTATAATCTACCATGTCCTTTCTCATACACTGTCTTATCCAGTCCTCAGAAAACTGAATGGAGGCTAGTGTGTTCATTGCCTAAAATTTAGAGATGAGTAAACTGAAGTTCAGGCAGTATGAATCATTTGCTTAGTAAGAAAAAGGGGTAAATGAACCAAGATTTTCTAAATCTCAAGCCAGTGTTCCTTCTATTATCTGATATTGATTTACTACCCATGAATGAGAAGCTTATCTGAAGAGACTAAACACCAGTGAAGTTATTTCAGGTTTTATTGCCAAGACCTGACATTGATGCAGCTTTGTATGGAGTTAAACATGAAAAATACGTTTTCCTTTAGGAAACAATAGTTGCATGCTTGGGAGAGGCAGGCAGAACTGGACATTGTCAATGGCAGCATGTACTCTGATCACTCTCTTTATTAGTGGATCTTAGCCTTGACTGCACATTGGAATAAACAAGTGAGCTCTAAAAATACTGAAGCCTCGCTTTCACTTCAAGAGAGATTCTGATGTCATTGATATGGATGTCAGAATGAAAACAGGAAATTCCTAATTTGTCCTGGTAATACTCCTCCTAGCCAGTAGAGGCACTCTCTCTGGACAGTTGAAAAGACTGCTTTGTTCTCTTGGGAGAACCTAGTTCTATACCTTAAGAGTTCTTTTATTGTCTTAGTAAGTGCTATAGCAATTATAGAAGTTTGTAACACCATTTTCATAAATGATGACTAGAGATTCTTTGTATTAATATAATGTGCCAGAGAAATAAAACGTTATAGTTTTCTTTTTCTTTTCCCCTCCTTTCTGTCTCCGTTCTTTAAAAACAAAACATCACTAGCTTTGAAAAGTACTACAGATGAAGCCTTACCAAAGGACATGTCTGAGGATCCAGGTAGGAGAAAACCATTTTAATATATTTATGTAATTATTTCTAATAAAAAAAAAAACAGTTTTAGTGAGTAGAAGATTGGTACATCTGTGACAGTATGTATACTTTTCTTGAAATATTTGTCTTGTGTTTTATTACAAGGAAACCTGTTTGCTTTTTTTTTTACCCTTTCTCCTTTCCAGGTATGAGAAGAGGGTGATTTCTTCTTAAGTTCTGAATTTAGATTTCACTGAAAGGTTCACTCAGTGTGAATTTAGTGTCATTGTTACTAAGTGTAAAATTGAGAAGTCTTGGAGTTGAGAGGATTTCAACAAACCATTGTGATTTCTGTGTAGAATAAGGAGTTGATGGGGTAGATCAATTGGAGGCACATAGTTGAAATCTTCCATTTCCAAAGCAAAACTCTCAAATATTTTTATTATACTTCATCACTAGGAAGGCAGGTAAATGCTCTTATACATGGATTGGATCCCAAGGAGAAAAATAAAAATTGTGTTTGCACAGTTTCTTGTAGAGTTGGAACTGTGTCTGTGAACCACAGAGATGGCTGGGCCTATGTCCTCAGCTTTCTTGAACCAAGATGAACCTAGTTAAAAACAAACTAGCTATTTGAAGCTCTGATTATGGGGACATGAAAGAAATTGCTGCTTTCTTTTTTATCTCTTAATATTTAATATTTAATAAGTAAATCATGTTTGTTTTGGTTAGCTAGCTATCATCCCAGGCTTATTTGTTTAAAGTTGTAACAAAGGGGTCAACATAACATTGAAGCTTATGTTATAGTACAGTATTTCCCAAACACCAAGTTCATTCAAGGTTTAGGAGAGGGGAATAGAGGGAGGAGGGAGAAGGAGCAGGAGGAGGAAGACAAGGTGGGAGAGAGAAAGAGAGAGTGAGAGAAAGAGTGAACGCATGAGAGAACATATGAATGACAATCTGTGATTTATTTCAGATATAAGGCCTAAGAATCTATTTTTAGGCAGCCCCCAGGTGATTCTGATGTATAGCCTATTGGTAACAGCTACCTCTAGAAGGCCATGTTAAGAAATAGAAAATTAAGATCAACCATGATTCTGAAAGTGGTAGGAATTCTCAAACCTAGTTTTGGCTTTTGAAACTGATTTGATTTTTTTATCATGGGGGAAACGCTCTATTTGTGTAGGAGAAATACCTGAGGCAGATTCTTTGTAACCCCAATTTGTGGAGATGAAGTGGATACATCCTAATTTTTATAAGTTTAATGTTATGATATTAGCAAAAGCTATGTAATGTAGTGAGTTAAATTGCTGCTTCTCCAACAGCCTTTGAGGCTAATAACTCTTCCTGTTTTTTTTCCAGGAGCATCACATGTTCTTTGGGGTGAGCTTTAGACATGATTATTAGCATTCTTTAATTGAATAGGATGTGGTGTCACCAGATAAAACTTCTCAGGGTGTGCCACAGTGTGTGAAGTACATCCGAATTTGTTTTACATTCTGCCTGGGAGCGTGCTGTGTGGTTCCCTTTCTGGAATGGATATGAGGGAATTGAATTCCCAGCAGGAGACATAGGAGTTTCAGGGTGGTGGTTTCTAATTCTGGACGGCTGTCTGTGCCACGTGGACAGTTCACCTCAGTTAACTGAGTAGCTGCCTTTTGGAGAATTAAATTTCAGGCTTGCATTCTTATCCCATATATGTTTCCTTGGAAAGATGACATGCCCAAAGTATTCTAGGAAGTTGGCATTCTTCTTCCCTTTCCCAGCTAAATGAGAAACAACAACCTGCCTGTTGGTGTCTCCCTGGATTTTCAACACAACATGCCCTCATCATTTTTGTAGATATTCACATGTTCCAAATGCTAAGCCTGACTTCAGGGACTCAGAGGCTAATGGAAGACTCAATTAGAATAGTGAACTTCAGCTTTTCCTGATCAGAAAACTGTGGAGACTTACCAAGACCTGCCTGGGATATGTTTTTACAGGTGGAAGGAGAAGCATCTTTCTGCCCTGCTCTTTCACAGTGGGTAGTGATAATAATAGTAACGGTGATGAAGATGATGGTGTGGTGGGTTATGGATGGGGTGGGACTTTATTATCAAGGAATGGGAGTATCCATTTTACATATTTTGTCATATGCCCTTGCCCCTTTAATTGCTGAAAGTGTATATATTAGTGGAGTCTAATAGATTTCTTAGCTAACATTACATTCCAGCTAATTCAGCAGAGCACACTGCACAGTGGTGATCTTTTTCTTGATGTCTCTAGGTAATGCTGAGTGGATTAGGCTTGCTCATCCTGACACTGTAATCTTCAGACTGCTGTTGGTGATTCTAGTAGCTGCCCCGATTGCCAGCTATCACTCCATGGTCTTATGGGGTAGAGCAGTTCTCTCTTTCCATTACCCACTCCCACCTGCCTTTCCTTTGCTGTCCTAGAAGGAACTAAATTTCCATATTTCTAAGCCTGTAGAATTAGGAGGGCTCTACAACAGCAATATTTGGCAATTCTAAAATACACTCAGTTGTTAAAGTACCTTCGCTGTCTTATCTCTCCCTGTGAGGAATGGCTGCATTTTTATTTTCTTCATCCTGTAGTTAAGGGAACTGAGGTTCAGAGAGCTAGCAGCTAGTGAGTGTCATGGCCAGAAGCATCTAGGCCTCATGACTCCCGGACTGGTCTCCACTGTTCATCTGTACCCCTCACCGCATCTGTCTGTCTATCTCTCACCAGCAGGGTTTACCCCGCCTTCCACACCCGTTCCTACCCCAGCAAAAAGACAAAGATAATGGCAACTGACCAAGGGATTAACTGTCACCACGGTCTGGCTTGGTGATACGGTCACATGGCTGAGACTTCTACCTACATATTTATGGAAAGCAGTAGGGCCTGAGGGAGAAGAGGGCCAAGGAGCCAGAGCCAGCTGTGGGCAGCCTGCTCAGAGGGTGGCCCCCAGTTGTGTGGTGAGTGTGCTCACACTGTCCACCCAGCCCCAAGACAGCCAGCTTGGCTGGAGGAGAGGCTCCCCTTAGGTCGCTTTCCTTTGATGCTTGAGGGTTGGGGGGTGAGAGTTAGTTTTTGATGATAATGGGTAAGACAGGGCTTAGAATCCTCTGGCTGCTCAGGCTTTTTGAGGTTCTTGTAGAGTTTCAGTGGTTTGAGTTGAAAGATGCCTGCGTTCTCACTACAATAAGCCAAAATATGTAGGTTGGGAGAAATGTATCTCTTCTGCAGCTGACCCCATGGAAGGGGATACATATTGCTAGTTTGCTTTGTGTCTTGTTAGCACTTCAGCTCCCCTTCCTGCCTGGCTTATCTAACCCAAGGATTGTAATGGTCCTTGTAAATCCAGGATGCTTCATACCAAGGAGGGCTTTATCTTTGGAGCAGTGTGAAAGAGGAGGGGATGATACAGTGAGACATTTTCTTTCTGGAAGGATTTGTGCAATATATAAACTACATTCCTTGTTCCTAGTTAGTAACACTTTTTCTATGAATTCTTATGACATTTTATGATGAGAAATTTGCAGTGTTTGTAAACAGCATAGCTAGTGGTTTCTAAAAGTTGTCTTCCATAGAAGATTCAAAACATCAAACGGATATTAATGTTTTTGTAAATGTTTCTAATTACTCCCAACAAGTTGGGGTGGGAAAGTAGGCTTCGTGGGTGTCGGTAGTGAGCAAGTTAGTTTATGATTGAAATTTGATAAGGAAAAGTTGTATGGTTGGCAAAATATTTTAATGATTTCATGCCATAATATTCCCTGTACATTTTGGTCATAGAGACAGGGGGCACAATATTTTCTTTTAGGAAAAGCTGCATAATGTACTACAACTTACTTGTGGGAACTTTGATTTTTTCTGGTCATGCTGCTCTGGTAGTGTATTTTAAGAAAACCTTAACATATATAGCCTGATATTTTTTCCTAGCCTTCAGGGAAGACTAGTTCAAAATCTATTACTAGGTTCTCAAGATAGAACAAGAAATCCTCAAGTCTGAACCCATCATTGTGTAAATAGATAACCCCTTGAGAAGGTTGTCTTTTTAGACTGGAATTTCTTTGTTAATGAATTTTGATTTGAGAATAGCTTCTTAGTATTCTGATGAAAGAAAAATATGTTGATTTTTCTTCCTTGTCAATTGTGCCTTTAGCTTTAGAAATACGTGTCTGAAATCATGAAACTGTAAAAGAGGTCCAGTTCTCTACACGGACACCTGTAACCTCACGTCGACCTGTAGCTATGTTCTGTCCTAGCCCAGATGTTGTACATAAACCTGTTTAACTTCAGAAATGAAACCCAAGCAAACAACAATTAATCTTTGTTTCAGCCACTCCTAAGGATTCCAACAGTCTCAAAACAAGACCAAGATCCAGGTAGTGTTTGTTTAATTTCTGCTTTAATGCCCTTTGTGCCTGTCCCAGACTAGAAATAAAAACCCCCAACCCAAAGCCCAACCCACAATCTCCTTTTCCTTTTGATTTGAAACTTAGAATGTGGGTGAGTTCACTGTCATGAGAGGCCTGACTGGAGCCTGCAGTGCTACTGGGAGACTCTTAGTTTCTGTGTGTATCAGTGCTGGAAGATGGTGGCTGCTGTGCTCTGGTCACCTGATGTGAAGTGGCTTGTGTGATACATGCCCCAGTTGTTGCAGGATGATAATGAGTAGGGGGAAGTAGCCTTGGAAACAAGGAAATGTAGTTGAAAGGTAACTAACATTGAAATTTATCATGACAAGGTGAACACCAAAAAGTAAGAAGTCTGGACTCAAATCTAGAGTAGGGAGAGAAAATGCTTATGGTGACTCCAATGAGGTGTGAAGCTTCAGGTGAGCAGTATTTATCATCTGTTCCATCCTATCTTGGAGCCTCTTTTTTGGCTTCACAGTTTTTCAATCACTAGAGGCTAGCAGAAGAGGAAGAGCCAGGGAGGCAGAGCTGTGGCTGACATCAGACGTTGGAAGGGAGGAGTGAGGACAAATACTGAAACACTAATAGAACCAATAGAACATCAGTAGACTGCAGTGCAAGATAGGACACTACATGTGTCTTTTCCAAGTTTTCTTTTGGCCCTTGGTGGCTTTTTTCCTCATTTGACTACTAGACGCATTCCTAAAGAAGTGAATTTAGCCCTAGCCAGTTTGGCTCCGCAGTTGGAGCGTTGGCCCGTGGACTTAAAGGGTTGCGGGTTCGATTTCCCATCAAGGGGTCAGTCAGGGTCAATGGGGAGGCAACCAATTGATCTCTTTTTCTCTTTCTCTCTCTCCTTCTCTCCCTTCCTCTCCCCCTCTCCCTCCTTCTCCCCCTCTCCCTCCTTCCCTTTCACTCTGTCTAAAAAAAGTCAATGGAAGAATGTCCTTGGTGAGGGTTAGCAAAAAAATTAATTGAAATCTGATCATATTTTGAAATACTGACATTTAAGGAAATCTTGTTTTCTTGTAAATCAGAGGCACCCTTTAGTGTATCTTTTATGTTTGGATTTTCCAAATTGGGGTTTAGTTTCCTTGTTCATATGTGTGTGTGTGTGTGTGTGTATATATATATATATATATATATATATATATATAGTATATTCATATTTTTAAAAACAATAGATACACTAATTCATTTTGGTAAGAAAAAAGGCATAGTCATTTCTCTCCATGGTTACCACATTTACTCATCCTTTTTTTAAGGATGAATGGATCTTTCACAAATTCGTTTGTAGGCTTTAGAATGTAGGAATAGTAACATTTATCTGCCCTTTATTGTAGGAAAAACCTTTGAATTGCAGAAATCTGCTTATGTGTTCTGTTAACCGTAAATTGAGCTTCACAGTTTTCACTTCTGATTTCCCCTCTCTCCCAAAGTAGTGAAATTAAAAAATCTCATAGTCACATATTCTGTTATTAATCTCACTGGCTACATTTTATGTATTATTGTTTTAGGGATTATTAGTCTCCTGGTCTAATTTGGATGTTTTATTTCACTATTCCCAGCTAAGTCTACTGAGACCAAGAAAATCAAATCATCTTTATCCTCCCTTTTAGAATAATAAAGCTTAGAAGAATAAAAGGGAAAGAGAAAAATCACCATTTAACACTACTATATTCATCATTTTGTTGATTCCCTGCACATTTATATTTTAATTGATTGCAGTCAGTTTTTTAGTATCACTTATTTGATATGCAGTTAACTTTCCATAACAAAATATAAATACACAGGTTTTTTATGGAAATAAAATGGAATGAGATACGTGGTATGGGGTAGTGTGCTTAACTGTGCGTATGTACATGTGTACACACATTTTTTCTTTTTTGAGTGAAAAATGTCATTAAAGCTATATTTGGCATCAAAAATTTTTTAAACTTCTAACCAGGGTCTCTAATTTCCTTTTTTATTTTATTCATTTTTTAAGCGATGGGAAAGTTTATTTGAAAAATAGGCAGACTTCTTGCAGCAGGGAGGGGACCCAAGTGGGCTGCCCTTTATTTTTTTTTAAATATGTTTTTATTGATTTTTTAGAGAGAGAGGAAGGGAGAGAGAGTAGGAACATCAAGGTGAAAGAGAACATCGATTGGCCGCCTCCTGCATGCCCCCACAACCTGGGCATGTGTCCTGACCGGGAATTGAACCAGTGACCTCTTGGTGCATGGGATGACACTCAATCCACTGAGTCACACCGGCCAGGCTAATTTCCTTTTTAAATCAAGAGTTCCTATTTGAAAATTTTGTTATCCTTTCAGATCAATTCTCTTTTATTCTGGTTGAAAGTATTGGGCCATTCTTCTGCTACTTTCTGCATACCTTTGCCTTGCCTGTCTTGCCAGTTGTGTTACATGGACCACCCTAGAGTACGTCACATGCCATTATGGTGGCTTTATTAAAGATTGAAACATTGACAAACAAAATACCCCACTACCACCAAGAAACTTTGAGGAACTCATTCAAGAAAATGAAAACTTGCTACGTGAAAACCAGTTTTATCAAGAACTGAGGTTACCTAATAGAAATGGACAGATTCCAATTTCCTAAGTGCCACTCTAATAGCTAAATACCAAGAACAGTTTTCTTATGTTAACTTGTCTCTAGGACATATCTCTGACTCAGAGGTCATTTTCTTCTTTGACATGAAGTTGGCTGAGAAGCTGAATAGAACAGATGTATATATCCACTTCATAGAAAATTGTATTGGGAACTCATCCACAAACCTATTCGTAAGCAGTAGACTAATGTACTGAGTGGAATTAATTTAGAAAATAAGTAGTCTCCAATAAATAGTCTAGCCACTATCACCAAAAGGTTTCTCCCCTGGCTCATAGACAATATCAGAACGTTTTGAAATGGAATTTGGAAACAGATAGGGACTAGAGTTTGAATTGAACCTATGCAACTTTGTAGCTGTGTGATCTTTGGCAAATCATTTAGCTCATTTTTCTTTAAATGTCATTATTGGCATTACAATCTTAGAAGTTGCCTAGGTAGCTACTGCCTTGTCACAGATTGAGGGAGGAAGTGAAGAGGAGGCTTTTGCTTTGAAAATTTCTCAAAACCTGTGTTTTTCACGGTAAGGCAAACTAGACCCCTTGATTGATGTGTGTTTTCTTTTCCTGAATTTCATTTATGGCATATTCCCTTGAACATTTGATTCTTACTCTCAGCTTATCTTTCCCAATTCAATATATACCTGTCATCACATTTGCATGTAAACAGGAGAAAAGTTCTGCAATTAGTTAATACCACAAAGGCCTTCTACTAAAATATGGAATTACCTAAGCAGAAGGGTTTTCATGTTATTCTTATTAATAGTTCCAGTAGAAACAGATTTTAATTTACAGAAAGCCTTTTTCCCCAAGTAAATTTAGGTCTAAGGTATAATAGGAGCAAAGAGATTATAAAAGATTCTGATTCACTTTTGAGGTTTGGGCATTATTATGGCACATAAGGACACCCAGGGGGTGGTAGAATTCATGGTTGCTTTGGGAGCTTGTCAGTCCTTTGTAGTCACTTCGACTTTTGTGGGTATTTTCCTTTTCACCCCAACTTCAGAGAATAAAGCTTTGCTGCCTCCTTTCTGACTTTCCCTTATTTTGCTGCAGATCTTACTCTAGCACCTCCATAGAAGAGGCCATGAAAAGGGGCGAGGACCCTCCTACCCCGCCACCGCGGCCACAGAAAACTCATTCCAGAGCCTCCTCCTTGGATCTGAATAAAGTCTTCCAGCCCAGTGTGTCAGGTGAAGTGCCCCTCTGCACCACAGCTCTTCCCTTTCCTGTTGGAGTCAGTGGATGGTTTTCTGCCACAGAGGCCTTCGTGAGCCCAGGGAGTGAGCAGACCTGTCTTTCCCATGCTAGGAAAATCTACACGTTGCTATGAGATTCTTGGGAGGGAAAGCAGTTCTAGGCAGATAGATATCACATGTGTTTGGAGCCTTGCCCACACTTGCTCTGGATCAAGAATTAGGAAATTCTGTACCAAGAGGATAAAAATGCTTCACTCAGACAGCCCACTGGGTGCATGGCTGGGGTCTTGTTATCTGCATCCTGGTAATTTGTATACAAGATTGCTGTCTGTCATTTCCTCAGACACTTACGCAGTTCTTCTGTGAAAGATCTGGGTGAGCAGTGCCTGGCCAGAATCCTCTGCATTTTATCCCTGTGGCGAAGATCCTGTGTCCTGTTGGGCTTAATGCTAAGGGGACTCTGCTTTCTAAGTCTGACTGGTGATTAGGTGGTAGGGTGTGGGGTCTAGGGCATGGGCTCCTTCAGGTGCTCTGGGGCTTCTGGGGCAGGGACTTTCTTGAGCCAGCTGCTGTAGAGCTGGGCTGGAGGGTAGGTGGCGTTAGAAGGGCCTGTCTGCTCCCCTGGCTCCCTGTGAATTGGAAGACTAAGGGACCTATGGAACAGCAAATGAGAACCATGCCTTTACTTTAGAGAAGGTACTAGGATACAGCGCCATCCTAAGTGTTATTTTGGGAGCAGCAAGCGCCTTTCCACTGACCAATGTAGGCAAGCTATAAATACAATGATTTCCTGGACCTTTTTTTTTGTATCTATGTGCATTTCAAATCAAGCCAACCTCAGATGCTAGTGATTTTCAGATTATTATTTTTTCTGCTAAAGGAAGAAAAGACCCCTTGGCTCACACATTAGCATGACCTTTGTGTCCTGGCAGAGCTCAGCATGTTTTATTTGTTCTAATAAAGTACTCTCTTCACAGTAAAGTTATAGAATTGTTTTTAATATACTAGAATCTGGAGCTCTCTCTGAAATTTGATTCTCTGCCATGAGTTCATCAGATAAAAATTTGCCTTGAATTTTCCCCCATACTTTGATCCAAATTCTGGCGTAATTTCATAGTAACTGGTATTTGGGGTGGGAGTAGCCATGGATGATGATGCTATAAAATTTTTACATGGCTGGTGGATTATGACCTAGAAGATTTTTCTGTGGATGCAAGAAGATTAAAACAATCTGGGCAGCTGTTTCAATATGTTTTCCTTGCAAGGAGAGAGGCTGGAAACACACAAGCATCTCTCAGGCTGAGTAACCCCACAGGGAGTACCAGCTGTTTGGAAAATGGATGTGCTGTGGCTTTTATGACATTTCATCCTAGAGAGGAAGAGATAAGACTAGACTCAGTCTTGCTTAACTGCTTATTAACTATATGATTTCGTCTTTCTGTATTTCAGATTCCTAATCTGCAAAATAGGGCCAGTATTTCACCGAATTGGAGGGTTTGGGTGAGATAATAAATATAATCCAAATAGCAATATGTTTGGCCCATAGGCACTCATTCCCAAGCAGCCTGATGAGGGAAGGGAGTCTGGGTATAAAGCCCTTTGACTTCCTTGACTCCCCAGCATGACAGTTCTGTGATTTGTCCCCCACTGTCCTTGGAGGGCTTGCAAAGGGACTGAGCCCCAGTTGAGTGCTGTAGTACTCCATTTATTAACACCTTTTCTTGGCTTTCTTCCCTCCTGTTGTGTCTCACTTCCCCACACACAAATACAATACCCGTTCCTAAGTCCCTGTCTTAGGGGCTACTTTTGGGAGTACCTGAATTAAGACAGCTTATTTTTACTTCTCCAATGTTGACATGACTTTAAGAGGAAAAGCATTTTGCTTTGATAAATGTCAAACTACAGCTAGATGCGTGACATCTACATTCATAGCCTACTTCCATTGTCTTTTCAGTGCAGGTTTACACAAATAACATTTTAATGAGCAGTTTAAATTGATCACATGAAGAAGAGAGCAGTATGAAAAGCAGGTGGTACCATGGCATCTACTTAATTTGTGTCCATGTTGGCTAATTCTCATGGGAAAGTACAAGAGTCTAAGTTATGTAGAGTTTGTGTATTGCCTTTTGCTAGAAATTACTTAGTAAAATTCTGACAAACTAGGAAAGCTTGAGGTACAGTATAAACCTATCAGAATAGTGCACCCAGTAAGAACCACGATGCCCATGTAGTAACCCCTCAGCTGCACTTGTCTTTATATGTCACTTTTTTTGTTGTTAATCTTCACTACAGAATATTTTTTCCATTAATTTTTAGAGAGAGTGGAAGGGAGGAGGGAAGGGGAGAGAAACATCAATATGAGAGAGACACATTGATTGGTTCCTTCCCACACATGCCCTGACGGGCCAGGGATGGAACTTGCAACCCAGGTATGTGCTCTTGACTGGGAATCAAACCCATAAGACTTCAATACGCAGGTCGACAATCTAACCACTGAGCCATACTGGCCAGGGCTATATGTCACTTGTTCAACCAGGTCACACTGTGCTTTCCCTCCTATATTCTGAGTTTCACAATTAACCGTCTATTTCTTAATAGAGACCTACATCATTTCTTTTAATGCCCCTGAGATACGTATGTAGATGGAGAGTTTTCTCTCACCCTGTCTCCCCCTCCTTCTCCTTGTCTCTTCCCCATACTTTTCTCTCATGCTCATACACTACTCCTTCATGTGTACTTTCCTTGCTCCTTTCTCACAGAACCCCTTGCCTCTCTCTTTCTCCCTTTCATTCTTCTGTGTGCTCATTCCTCTCCTTGTCTTTCCTCCTCCTCCCCTTCCCTTTCTGTTTCTTTCTCTTTCCTCCTTCTTCCCCATTTCACAGTTAGTTTCTCCCACCAACCTCACTTTGAACTCCTGTGATAAACAAGGCAGAGGTTTTTATGGATTTTGTATCCATATATTTGTTTCCTCATCTACTTCTCTTCTTGGGCTGAATCCTACAAGTTGGAGTTGCTGTAACAAAGGCCATAGACATTTCAAGTGTACATATTTGTTGCTTTAACTGTGCTGTAGAAAACTTGGACCTATCGCCCTGGCCGGTTTGGCTCAGCGGTTGGAGCGTCGGCCTGCGGTACAGAGAGACCTGGGTTCGGTTCCCGCTAAGGGCACGTACCTCGGCTGCAGTTTGTCCCCGGCCCTGGTTGGTCATGCGGGTGCAGCCACTCAATGTGTCCCTTCACATCGATGTTTCTCTCTCTCTCTCATTTCCTCTCTCTCCCTCCCGGTCTATCTGAACAAAAAATGGAAAAATGTCCTCGGGCGAGGATTAAAAAAATAAATAAATAAATAAATAAAGAAGAAAAAAAAGAAAAGAAAACTTGGACCTATCAACTTTGCCCACTGCTAACATTGTTTGTTTCCTCACACATCCTTGTCAACGCTGGTTAATGTTCATCTTTTTTATTGTTATCAACCTGATAGGCAAATATTTGCATTTCCCTGATTTCAAGTGAGACAGAACATCTTTTCATATCATTATTGGCCATTAATCTTCTTCTTTTTGTGAATTGCCTGCTCAGAAGACTCACTCAGCTTCTGTTGGTACATCTTTTTGCCTAACTACAGGGGACCGCTTGTCTCTTCTTCACTTTTCTGATAGGGTTTTGGACCCGTCCTCTCTGAAGCACTTGGGAATGGGAGGGTGGCTGTGGGGAAGTTAACCTGACCTCACTTCACTGGGTCCATGTCCTTCCAGCCCCCAGTGCCCCATCTTTCTGCCAACTTTATCACTTAAGATAGACTCTACTGGGACCACCCTGTCTGTAACAGTAGGAGAGTAGGAAAGGTAAAGGAAAGAGGGTGAGAGAGTGTACAGTGAAACAAGATGTGGTCCTGAGTTGAAAGGGAGAGATAAAATGTCTTGAAAAATGAGACTCGTAGGATTGTGAAAAACAGTGAATGAGACCCAGTTGCTGAGTCAGAGTGGTCTAAAGTGGAGTGATAATATGCAGAAGAAAGAGAATGGAGGGAGGATGCCAAGAAGCAAGAATGAAAGAGGGAAATGAAGAAAAAGATGAGATGGTGGTTACATGGAATGACGATGTTCATGGGAGAAGGAAATAGGATAAAAGATTGTTGAGATCAAAGGGAGGTGAGCTCACAGACTCAGTGTAGGATTCAGATAGGATTTAAGGAAATAGCTTAGAAGTGGGTGGCATTAATGCTGTCAAGTTTATGAAGATCAATAACATGCTATGAAGAAGATTAACAAAGGGATGATTTAGAATGTAAATCTATAAAAACGAACAAGGTCAACTTTGGCAGAGTGGAACAAATGGCCTGAACTTTGATATCTGTAAGGAGAGTGTGAACATAAAGATTTACAAGAGTCTAGACTGTCCCAGGACTCTATATAGGTAGGTGCTGGCATTACACCTAAAGCATGTGTTTTCCTGGGAAGAAGTTGATATAATATGATCACTGTGTATTAAAAGAAATTGACCTTAGTAATAGTGTGTCCAGGTCATGCCGCCATCCTCTCTTAGTCCCTCACAGCTTCTGTGTTTGAGAGAAAACAAAAATGTGCAAGATAGTCTATGTCAGTAAGGATGCAAGCGTGCAAGATCTCTACAGGCAGTCAAACCCAGGGCTTTCTCAGTGATGTTTAGATTTTATAGCTCTAGACTTATAGCTAGGAAACACACTTTATCACTGAAATTCCTGTAAAAAAGATCACACGATGAGGGCAATACTTTTCAGACCCTAACCCTCTTTTCCTCACTGAAACAGGTTTCATAAGGTAATTTTTTTCCTTAAAAGTTTTTTTTTTTTCTGTTCCACCTTGTGAGGTGGGAACTCCCCTCTGTTCACTGTTGACAGTGACTCACCCCTTCTAAAGCTAGGAATGTTTCCATGGTAATGGTCAACCACCTCAGTGCTGCCTCTGCTACAACAGCCCTGTTCCAGTCATTGAGCATCCATCTGGCAGAAGAGG